CAAGGTTTATTACATAATTTACTAAAAGTAAATATGCTTGGGGACGGTGTTACATTATCAACATGCATTCATCATCAAAGATTCAATAAACAATGATTCGAACTTGTATAAGTATTTTATACCTCAGTGGTGCTCAGAGTTTCAGACTATGGGCTTCCACCAGTCCACCACCACAGAACAAATACGCACCGAGGAGTCGGAGATGAAGAGAGAACTAGAGAAGTGAAATACTCAATCGGCTCACTGGCTCTGTGGTTCAGACGACAATGGTGGCAATGACGGTGAAGTCTAGGAGTCAAGTTTTAGAGAGATAAAGAGAAGTTAGAGAACTAAGAAAGTGAGAAGGTGGCGTTTAGGGTTCGAAGGGAAGACAGAAAGAGGCGCTGAACGATTAGGGTTAAGGGGACTAGGGGAGCAGTCTAAATGTCTAATATGTATATATAAATATATATATATATATATATGGACTATAGGAATCAGGTTGTCGGGCGGGTCGGGTAGGAACATTAGAAACCGTACCTGCTACCCGTTATCCGCCCAACTCCCCTTTCTGGTTCGGGTTGGGTAAATTCGGGTCGGTTAATCCGACCCATAGTCCAAAAATCGTATAAATCTAGTTGGTTCATTCGGGTAGGGTCGGGTTTGCTCCCCCCTGCTTTGAGCATTTAGGATCTCCAATCACAAGTGGGACCTCACCTTCGCCTTGCACACTTGTGGTGGGGTGTTGTATGGGTGTGATGGTGCCACCTATAGAAGAATGACAAATCGGCGAAGTATATGTGGATAATTGGGTCTCCAACCAAAGGAGGACACTATTGTACTTCTCTTCATCATCCGCAATAATGTTAACAAGCGATTCAAACGTCTTTCATAACTTGTCAAACCGTTTTTGTTCCACTGTTGTGATCCACCCGTCGTAATCGATTTTCACTCGTTGGAAAGCTCTCTTCACATCTTTCCTCCATCTTTGGAAGATGTATGCATCGCGTAAGAGTTTCAAACCAACCCGAAGTAGGACCACAATGAAGTGTCCACACACCATACCCCGAAGTTCAAATAAGTGACAACTACAAACTCCAAAATTACTTTATGGGTCATACTCCACAAAGAAGTTCACACTCTTATCCAACCCATTAATTTTATCCTCTTTCACCATGAAATTTTTACCATCCTCGCATAGCAAGAGATCACAATAAACCTTGCCAACCATTTCATTTTGAATCTCCTTGAACTTAGTTAGGGTGTAAAATCTTTGCATTGTTTTTCCGTGGCATGTGTAGTAACGCATGGGATCATTTTGGTAAAAGAATTGGTGTCGGCATGAAACTCTTTTCCACCTTGTTTCACAACGCACGTCCGTATTGCTCAACCAATTGTTTGAGAATTATTTTGGAATTGACATATGAATCGAAAAAAGAATTCATGCTCTCACTTCGTTGCGTTGTAGACACGACCGCCCACCCAAAATGTTGGCTTTATATAGCACGGTACCCACCACGTTCTTTCATTGTACATCACATCAAGCCATCCATGATCTTAAAGTGGATACCTGAAATGAAATCATCAACATTTTACAAATGATTACATACATTAACTTCACTGCCGCAAACAAATATATGTCTGTGAAGTACAAATATATGTTTGTGAAGTACACAAACTTGTACCTTTGCAACATCTCAGTCCACTTATGCTCAAATCCTTGCATGTATTGGGAGTCATAAACGCACTCATGTAGAGCATCCAAGATGTCATCTTTTTGTGCAAGGCCTCTGAGTTTTTCGGGTACCTTTTTCATTATGTGCCATAGGCACCATCGATGCTTCGCATTTGGGAAAACAATTTTAATGACGTTTTGCATTGCACGATCTTGATCCGTAAAAATTCCGATTGGAGCACATCCCTCCATGCAATCGAGACATGCTTTAAATAGCCACACGAAAGTGCGTGTATTGACCCCGACAAATGGAGCAAAAGGCATGTCATACCTATTCGTAAGGTAAGTTGTGTCAAACGTGATGACATCTCCAAAAAATTTGTAAGCATACCTACACCGACTGTTGGCCTAAAACACATTCCACAATCTTGACTCCTCATCTAAGTCAAGGCTAAAGAAAAATCGGGGCAATTGGGCATGCATAGTAGCAAAGAACCCTTGAATTGCCATTGCATCACCACTCCCTAACCTAAGTTGCATCACCTTATCGATGTAGTTCCTACAGTCTTTTTCGATAAAGGGAAGTTCATCATATTCACCGGCTTGAACAACGGTCGAGTTGAATGTTTTATGAAGTCGTATTCCCGCCACATCATTTATTTCTAGTTTTCTCCTTATTTGAGGAGTCAACCTCCTATTGCACCAGAATATGTGAGCCTTTGTTGGACTCATAGGATGGGAATGTTGTAGAGATACTTTTGAAATTTCTCATGAGCCATTATAAGTTGTGTGTTCCCGTATTCTAGCTCTGCACCCGGTTTGCATTGAAGGTTGGGGCTTCAATTGATTTTGTGCCTTACTACCTCGACTCCCTGCGCGTGAACACTCCATTACCACCACAATCTCTACTCCATTTTTTGTCTTTGATTGTACTCCTAGTTCTTATGGGAAATCTCATACTCTTCGCGTATGTCTTGTAAAAATCATACACAGCTTCTTTCGTATCAAACTTCATACCAACATTCGGAGCTTCAATATCCTTTCTGACCATGTGCATCTGTCATGGTACAATATTGAATTCAAAAAAAATAATAAATAATTTATTCATGCACACAACTTAGTGCTACACACAGGCAATATATGCACATACAGACAACTTTAACTGTTTCACAGACTAACATGTTCACTTGTCCCAACATACACAGACAACGTTTCATACACTACACAAACAAACATGCAGTGTCTACAACCCACACAAGCACGACACTAAGAACTTGCTTGTGTGAACAAATGTTGCTTGTGTGCACAAATTTATTTTGACGCTATAACAAACTACACAAACGAAATACAAACAAGATGAAGTCATACCCCGTTCATACACGACATCCATGAAAGCCTCCAATGTCGTTTCGTTGCCTTCTCCAGTTTGGGCCTTATTTCCGTCATCTTCTTCATGTCTGGCCATCTGTCCGTCAAGTCCTGCAGCTCCGGGGGTCTATCCATCACCTTTTCCAGCTACTACCAGCGTTCCTTCAGTTTGGTGAGCTTCGACGTCTCCACCTCCCACAGTTGCATCCCAGAAAGCCCAAAAATCATCCTCGTTAACATCTCCCATGGTGTCTTCCAAAGAGCGACGACAATCGATTCACGACGCCAAAAAACAAGCTTCACCGTCATCCTTAGCCAGAAAAGCGGAGAAGACCACTTACGAGAGAAGAGCGGAGAAGAAAATGGGGGAGTGAGTGCGTTAAATTTTATTGGGAGAGAGACTAGCGCACGTGGGATTGAGGTGGGGGAAAGGGGGGTAAATTTTTCCTTTGGACTTTATATACTCCCTCCGTCCCGGAATTATTTTCATACTTTCCTTTTTGGTATGTCCCAAATTGATCTCCTCTTTCCCTTTTTAGCAAAGAATTTGTGGTTCACAACCATTCTTACATATTCTTACACATTTCTCTTTCCTCTGCACAACTCTTCACCACACATTTTCCACTATCTTAATCCGTGTGCCATTTGTACTTCAGGAGCTAAATATGGGACGAAGAGAGTATGATGTAATGGGTATAAAAATGTGTACAAAGACACTTTTTGACTCAAGTTAGGCAAACACATCGAGAATGGGTACGGTGAGGTGATATTAGCCATATAAATTGTTTGGTGGAACCTTTTTTTTATCCTGTGACTCATTAATGCCAACATTACTTTGTTAATTTAAATATTTTTTTCGATTTATATAAGAAAATTATATGTCCAATATTTTTCGATAATTCAAAGCATTGGTCATATCACCTTCATTTCAGCACATTCATCAATTGAAGCGATTTCAATTTGGGTGAATTCTCTAAATAGAAGTAAAAGAGTTTTGAAATTCCAAAATAAGAGTATCATGTTTTTTATTCCTTGAATATGAGTAAATCTTTGCCAAGTTTGACATTACAAGGCTTAAAAATATGGCATATTTTTCCAAACTTGACAGATTACTCCTATTTAGGGAATACAAAACATGATATTCATATTTTGGAATTTTTAAACGTTTTTGATGCTATTTAGAGCAATTTCTATTTCAATTTTCAACTAACTTTACCCCACAAAACGGGTATTGAAACCTCAAGAATAAAAAGAAAAGGGCATTAATAATTGTAAATAACAACTTGCATAGCCAGCAGCGCCTACGTTGATACGTAGTACTTCATAAACGCGCGCACATAGACTTGGTCTCTTTGATTGGAAGTTGATGCATGGCACTCCCAAGTCCCAACTTGTATATGTACCGTTTGTTGATAAAAAAAGGAAAAATGGAAAATAATAATCTCAACTATCGTCGTTCCGCTACTAATAATCCCAACTATCGATTATTCCTCGGTGATCCCAACTACATAGACCATTTTCCAAAAATAGTCCCTAACCTGCTACAACCTGGTATAGCAGGTCAAATTTAAATGTGAACTATGCGTAAGCTATAAATAATCTCAACTATAGTCGATCTTCTTTTATTAATCCCAATTATCAATTCTCAGTTTAAAAAAAATATAATAATGTTTTTATAAATTTCCAAATTAAATATTTTTAAACATGTAAAAATAATTATGAAAATTCTACAAATGTATCGAAGTTAAATAAAAATATTTTTAGTCATTTTTTATTTATTTTCACTAAAATTTCTTTTTTTCTTTTTTCAATTTATTTTTCCTAGTTTTGTTAACACGTTATGATTTTGTATTATTTTCCTTTATTCAAATTTACATTTTGTGTTTTTAAAAAGTATATTGTGATTAAAAAAATTGCGATTTAAATCTTTATTTTAGATTTTTTCATGAAAATCAATTTTATTAAATTGTTATGTTATCTTAATTGTAAAAATAAAAATTCTCTATTTTTTCAGTTTTAGAATTTTTTATTTCTTTCTATTTTCTTTATTTTATGTTATTATATTATATAAATTATATGATATAGTTTATCATTGACTTCTAGTGATTCGGGACATAGGATTTGGTGGTTTTGGCTATGTTAATGAAAATGTATTAATATTTTAATTTTAAGCGATACACTTTTAATTTTCTACATGATGGATGGTGTACCCGGGGGGTAACTTATTCGAGGGGTTATTGCGGGGAATAACTTAGAGAGAAGTCAGAGCAATAAGTAAGAGAGAGAGAGTAGATATTTGATATAGAAAGTTGTGTTACAATGGGGAAATTGTCTGCTATTTATAGCAGTTATAAATGCTAGATATAATCAGTGAGGGTACACGTGTCAAGAAACCAGCGGTGGACGGTGAACTCAACTAGGGTGGCGCCGACCATAGCACGTGGCCGCATTCAATGCGGTGGTTTGGGTGTGACGTTGTACTTGATGTGGCGATTCAGTGCATGGGGAGAGGAGATCTTGTCGAGAATAGTGCCTTGGGCCGTACCTGCCAGGGCCGAAGGCCCTGCACACCGGGGGTCCCTAATGCCGAAGGCTGTATGTGCGGAAGGCTCTTATTTCAAACTCTGTTCTTTGGTGATGTTTCTAGACTAGGTTTCCTGAGTTTAAAGCCTTCGGCGTGTGGGACCGAAGGCACATCATGCGTATGTTTGTTGGGCTTGGCCCATCTGGACCTGCCGGGAATTTCTGGGCCATATATTCCATCACTACATATTTTACGATTTCCATTATATCATTTAAATTTACAATAATAATACATTTTCATTAAAACAGCCAAAACCTCCAAAACCTATACCTCAAATCACAAAAATTGAACGATAAACTATTTCATATAATAATATAAAAAATAGAAGAAATTACAAATACTAAAATGGATAAAATAGAGAATTTAGATTTTTTGAAATAACATAGCATAAAATTTAAATAAAATATATTTTTATGAAAAAAAACTAGAATAATGCTTTCAATCATAAAAAATTTAGTCACATCTTGCTTTTTGAAAACAGAAATTGTAAAATTGAATAAAGGAAAATAATACTAAATCATAACTTGTTCACATAATTGGGAATAATAAATTGGAAAAAAGAAAAAAAATAGCGAAAATAAATAAAAAATGACTAAAACTATTTTATTTAACTTTGGTACATTTGTAGAATTTTCATAATAATTTATACATGTTTAAAAATATTTAATTTAAAAATTTATAATTTTTTTTATATTTTTCTAAAATTGAGAGTTGATAATTGGGATTAATAAAAGAAGATCAACTATAGTTGGGATTATTTAGAGTTTATGCATAGTTCGCATTTAAATTTGACCTGTTATACCAGATTGTAGCAAGTTAGGAACTATTTTTGTCAAATGCTCCCTATAGTTGGGACCACCCAGAAATAATCGATAGTTGGGATTATTAATAGCGGACCGGTAATAGTTGGGATTATTATTTTCAATTTTTCCTAAAAAAAATCAAAACAATTCTTTTTTAATGTTACAGACAAAAATAAAAGAGGCGCCCCATGGAATTGAACAATGTATGAGAGGGATGGGTGGTACGGTTAATTATATAACAGAAATGGAAATCGTGACCGAGACATCGCTGGCAACAAAACTCGTATCCCTCTCCGAGTTCGCGCCCCCACCGCCGTAGTGCATCATCCTTGCCGTCGAGCCATGTTGTTCGCACCGTTGGAAGACTCTAGCAAGGGACGCAGCCTTTCTCCTGGCCCGTTTTGTCCCCGTGAAGAGCAATGACTGAAGCGATCTGGCCAATGCCGGGGCCCTCAACATCCTCTCTGCTGCCACATTACCCCCTCCTCGGCACAGCTCCAGCAGAGCTACAACTGCATTCTCCTTCCCTTTTGGGCTCCCACATCTCATCGTACCGATCAGCCCGGAAACCGCATGCTCCTCTCGTCCCACTACCACCGCCCCAGCCGGTTGCCTCACAACCAATGCCAATGCACCCGCGGCTTCTTCCGACACGCCTTCGATCCCCAAAGCCATGACTAAAGCACTCACAGCTCCGGAATCTATCAATCTACCGCAGTTCTCCGTGTGCGTGGACAGATTAAATAGAGCAGTCACCGCATCCTTTTTGCCCCTGGGTGACCCCTCTCTCAACAGACCCACCAACGCCTCCAATGCGCCTTCCTCTCTCCCTATTATCTTCTTGTAATCATGAACGGCCGAGAGGCTGAACAAAGTCGCGGCGGCATTCTCCCTGGCCTCCGGAGTGTGCCCGGACCTGAGAACCCCAACAATCAGCTCCAGACAGCCCTTCTCGCCCATGATTCGCCCTTTGTTCTTTTCGTGAATAGACAGGTTGAGAATGGCGGTCACCGAATTCTCTTGAGCTACCGAATCAGGAGAAGAGAGCAGATTCTTCAGGAGAAGGATTGCTCCGGCCTCAGCAATGTAGGCTCGGATCTCCTTTCCCGTTTTCGCTAGCAATCTGATCTCCTGGGCAGCGATGGTCTTGGCTTTCTGGGTTCCTTCTCCAAGCTGTTTTATTAGATGGGCTGCGGTGGCTTTATTGGCTTCATATGTCGCCCTTCCTGGTGAAACTGCCCCAAAGCCTTCTCCACTGCATGATTCTCCCGTCTCGGGCTGGTTGTCATATGGAATTCTATGGGCAGCACACCACTGGGTGATCAAATTCTTGAGAGCCCTGTTGGGCACAAAGTGGGTATGGACAAGAGTTTGTCCCGTCTTTGGGCAGTTGCAGTGCCCCTCCTCCATCCACCTAAGTATGGAAGGGCGGTCATACGTCTGCCCGGTGGATACAATGATGACCGGGTCCTTCATTAAATCCAATGAAATGGGACAGCAAAAATCCTTTGAAGCTGATGAAAAACCAAATGTCTCAGGTCGGATTTCTTGGGAGATGGATCCTAAACTGTAGTAGTGTTGGTGCTTAGAATGACTTCCGCCCAGTTCATCATCATCATGCTCCTCCTCAAATCCAAACAGCAAGAAACTGGAGTATCGGGTCATTGCCACAAACCCGCTTAACACAGACGCAGTTGGATCAATATCTCCTTCATGATTCATAACCTGTTCCTCCAAGAACTCAATTTCAAACCTGCAACTCCTGGCATCCCGAATCTCCAACTTCTCCGCGTACAATGAGTATAATTCACGAGAGTCTGGGATTTTACCCTTCTCGAACTCGTTCAAGAATGAGTACAGCTTTAACCTCAAGAGCTCATCCTGCTTGTCGATGAAAAAAATGGACTTTTTGGATTGTTTTTGCAACAATGTTAGTTGTTCCCTCACATCTTCCGGCAGGTTCAAACACTTTATCGGCAAGACATCCAAGAGTGTAGAAATCTCTTGGTTCAGATCGAGGAAATGACCCGAAATGGAGTGGTTTTGCAACAAGAGCCACAGTTTACTTGAATGTACACAGTAATCCAGTAGTATTTTAGAGCGGTAAAGTATAAGGTACAACTCTTTGAAGCACATAAAAGCATTAGAAGGATATCTCGATGAACCTCTGTTTTGTCCGAGCCATTCCATGGCTACTGAGAGAATTCGTATCTTCCGGAGCAGAATTTTGGAATTCTTACGTTGGTAAGCCGGCTCAACTTTGCCGGAAAACGATGAAATCAGCTCCTTAGCCAAGGCAGCCACCGCCTTCACCAACGCCAGGTCCTCCAGATCTAGCGGGACCAAGAACGCCTGCAGCGATGGAGACCTCCGCCGCCTCAACGACGAGAATACAGCCGCGGAAGCCATTCCGATCAACACCCCCACCTCAGTTCACGCCCAAATTTAACTCCAAGTCGCGGGCTTCGTTCGCTTTCTCCACTGAAACTCCTGGAGGAACCTTTGCGTTCCCGTGGAAGATAACTGTGTACACGTCAATGGTAAATCAGAACTAAGACTTTGATGGTATTATATAATTTGAAGGCCACGCCTAAGAAAAGAAAAGGAGTACATAGTCATGAATCCGCGTAAGAAGACGACGATGGGAAACGAGTGGAAGAAGTTGGGAGTATTTATTGACTGAATTTTCAACCATTTCTAGGAAGTACTCCCTCTTAAATTATAGTGTACTAAGAGCATCTTCAATACTACAATGTGCACGGTGCACATGTGGCAGGAGAGATAGACACAAAAGATTAAATTAATGACATTTCTCTTTCCTTCTTTCCACGACCTTATGTGTTTTTGATAAGTTTTTCTCAACAATGTCAACCACAATGTCTACTTCTAGACATTGTGCTTGACATTGTAGAGAAAAACTTACCAAAAACATATAAGATCATTCAAATAAGGAGAGAGATATTCTATTTGTTGTTTTTTAATTGGCTATCTCCAATACCACGTATGCTCCGTTCATGTTTTTTCATTAGAGATGCTCTAAAAGTATTCACTCACTCAATCTTGTTTTTCCTTGCAACTCAACACTTTTAATATATTCACTCAACACATTCTTTTTTTGTTAAATCCTTACATTTATTATTATATATAATTTTTTTCGCAAATTCTATTTTTGCAAATAATCACTCCCTCCGTTTTCAAAAGAAAGTCACGGTTTGATTTCACGATTATTATTGCAATAAATTGACTTTACTGTAGAAAACGCTGTTTATACACTGTTTGGCACTGTTTGGACATTGTTTGACACTGTTTCGTACTGTTTGACACTGTTTATATGTAGATTTCTTTGTCAAATAAGGAATAAGGGAAGTGTGACTTTGTTTTTGAAACATCTCAAAAAGGAAAGTGTGAGTTTCTTTTAGAAACGGAGAGAGTACAATTTGATATATCAAACATTTCGATGTAAAAATAAATAAATATGGAGTGAAATTTTTTTAACTAATTTTTTTAATGTTAAAATATCAAACTAGTTTTTGTAACTGTATATATCCATTACTGGTGTCATATGAAAGATTATAAAAAGTTGGGAAAAGTGTCAAATAGACCCTCTTACTATACTCAAAATGTCAATTGAGTCCTCGAACTCAAAAAACGCCCAATTAAACACCTGAACTATGAAAAAACGTTCAAAACAGCTTTTATCAGGTAACCAACAAGTTACTAAATAAATTTTGACACATGGCGACACGTGGCGCCACGTGGAACACCTTATCTTTTTTTTTTTTCTTTCTGGTTCTTCCTTTCTCCCTATTTCGTTCGGTCTTCTCTAGCCGGCCCTCTTTAGCTTTCTCATCCGCTCCAAGAATCCCAGGTAAGCTTTGGTTGGCTTTTGATTTTAATTTTTTCTTTTTGTTTCTTCCCATCGTAATATACTTCTGGACAACTAACTTCATCGTCTTCCGCAACGAGGTCTCCGTCCAGGTTCGATCCATCTTCTTTTCCGTCCATTTTGTATCTCCCGTCGCAGTACAAGGATGGATACGACGAACGATGCAAGCGTAGCACACGACAGGGAGTTGCGATGTCGATTTGGGTCTAAATCTGGAGACCATGTACCAGGCGAGCATGGTTAGCGGTGGCTGGGAGGGCTGTGCTGCTCGGATTTAGAGGAAAGGTTGACCAGATGGATGCGACCGTGAGAGGAAGAAACAGGTCTGGGAAGAGAAAGAAAAGGACAAGAAAGAGAAAGAATGAAAAAAGAAGAAAATGAGGGGAGAAGTAGCAGGTGCAGAGAATAAGGGGATTGAGAAAGAAAGAAGAAAAGGAAGGAAAGAAAAAGAAAAAAGGAAAGAAAATGAAGTTATGCCACATCAGATGCCACAAACATGATTTCAACTGGGAACCGGAAGAATACCTACTACAAAGATGATTTGCCTCTTTTTTTATTGTTGGTGGGTTTAATTGGACGATATTTAAGTTCGTGGACTTAATTGACATTTTCGTTATAGTAAGGGGGTTATTTGACACTTTTCTCTAAAAAGTTATGAATTTTGATATATTTTTTATAAAAATTTGATCTTTAATAAAAAAGTTATATCATTTTAAAGAAATTTGGGATTTTGAATTTTCATGGAGCCCACTTCTTTTTCTTTGGTGTGCACACCAAGTGCATCTTTTTCTCTCTCTCCAAGAGTGGATCGAGCATCCAAATTCCCACCCCAACGGTTCTACCAACCCACTATGAGACCCTAGTATATTTGGGTTGCACATCAATTTCGGGTGAAAAGCTCAAATTTGGGTTTCCACCCCTTTGCATTGCGGACAGCCTAAAGGTATTGTATATTGGAATTTTATCAATTCAGGACCCGAAAGATAGACAAATTATCAATCTGAGACCTGAAAGATGAAATGCATCAATATAAGACCCGAATGATGAAAAACTATCAATTTAGGACCTGAATGATTGAAAACTATTACTTTAGGACCTAAGTTGTCATAAATTTTATTTTATTTTTTATTTTAACTTTTTTAAATACTATTTAGTTTTATTTAACTAATGAACTTTTGTGAAGAAAAGTTTATCAAAAATTAGTGATGGAATTAATAAAAAATTAAATAAATCAAAACCTATGGAACATTAGGTTCTAAAACATAGTGATTGAAAACTATTACTTTAGGACCTAAGTTTGCATTTATCTTTGGCTACTTCTTTGAAATTAAAACCATATATATATACAAACAATTAAATTGATAAATTTGGATATTATGAATATAAAAACAACTAGAAACATAAAGAAACAAAAAAAAGTTTAGAAGTTCTCAACAAAAAACACACAAAAGAACAATAGGCATATGAAACTAACAATAAAAGATTATAAAAGTTAAGTACCTTAAGAAATACTCTGTATTATATAATAAAATTCGTGGTTTTTTAATTTATGAATTTCAAAATTTTCAAGTTCATTATATTTTTCATGTTGTTATTCTGTGGGATCATTTTAGTTTTACCCTCATTTGGATTACTTTAATTTTTTGAGTTTTTATAATTTTATATAATATAATTCTAATATTTATACTATTATATAAATTTAATTTAATTTTCGTTGTTCATAAATTGTATATATTTATTTGATTTTTATGTTTTTTAATATGTATATTTTAATAGAGTTTAGAAGAAGAGAGAATTGCAAACTGAATTGCTTACTTTAATCTCAGGCATACATTGGTATTTATACAATCATTTGGAGTCTATGCAATAATTATAATACTAATTACAAGGATATGTAACGGTAAAAACTGAAATTGTAATAATTGAAAATATTATAAATTAATATTTTCTGGATTCTTCTACACGCCCTTACAAGACAGGTATTCTGTTACTCCCAAGAATCCTGAGCTTGTCTCTTAGTAGAGTAAATTGTTGCCTTGAGAGTGGTTTTGTAAGAGCATCAGCTAACTGATCATGAGAAGAGATGTGAAGAACACGAAGAAGCCCATGTTGCACATGTTGTCGAACAAATGAAAATCAATGGCAACATGTTTTATCCTGGAATGATAAACCGGATTTGCTGAAGAAGTTGTAACGCCTTTGTTATCACAAAGTAGGAGCGGGGAAGCGGGGAAGCGGGAGGCGGATGTCGGAGTTCATGAAGAAGAGACTCAATCCAAAGAATTTCTGATGCAGCAGTAGAGAGAGCCTGATACTCTGCTTTTGTAGATGATTTAGCAATGGTTCGTTGTTTAATGGACTTCCAGGAAACAAGTGATTCACCAAGAAAAATGGCATATGCACTAGTTGAGGAGCGATCATCGAGATTCCCTGCCCAGTCTGCATCGGCATAAGCACATAGAGAAAGAGATGAACTGCGGCGGAGATAGAGACCATAAGAAGTAGTGCCTTGAAGGTACCGTAATAGGCATTTGATATGCTGCTAATGAGTAACCATCGGTTTGTGCATAAATTGAGCAAGTTTGTTGACAACGAAGGCAACATCTGGTCTTGTGAGACTCAAATATTGAAGTGATCCAATGACCTGATGATAGAGAGTCACATCGCAAGACCCCGAACTATCAAACCGTGTTAATGATGCCGAGGATGCCAAGGGTGTGGATACCGGTTTTGCCTCATCCATTTTTCAACATATGTAATAAATCGGTAATGTATTAGTGTTGGTCAAGAAAGAGCCCATCCTAATAGAGAATAATGTAAGGATCCCAAATCCTTAATAGAGAATTTTTGCACTAAGGAATCAATAGTCCGACGAACCAAAGTAGGAGTGGAACCAGTAACAATAATATCATCCACATACACCAACACATAGATATAAGATTGATGTGAAGAGAGTATGAAGAGACTCACATCCGACACAGATTGATGAAATCCAAGGGAAAGAAGAAACCCACTTAAAGATTGATACCACACCCGGGGTGCTTGTTTGAGACCATCGATAGATTTACGAAGACGACAAACAGACCTGGAACCATCATTGAAACCAAGAGGTTGTTTCATGTATACTTCCTCGTGAAGAGTCTCATGCAAAAAGGCATTATTAACATCAAGCTGATGGATCTGCCAACCATGAGAAAGAGCAATAGTCAGGACAACTCGAATGGTGACCGGTTTGATTACTGGGCTAAAAGTTTCGGAATAATCAACTCCTAGGCACTGATGAAAGCCCTTAGAAACCAACCGAGCTTTGAAACGATCCAAGGAACCATCCGGCTTGTACTTCACAGTATAAACCCATTTGCAACCAACAACATTTTGACCAGGACAAGCTGGAACAAGACCCCAAGTTCCCTGTTTAACCAAGTCTTCAAATTCTGCTGACATAGCATCCTTCCATTGTGGTACCTGTAAAGCCTAAGAAGCACAAGTAGGAATAATATGATGAGGTAAGGCGGATTGAGTGACGAGATTAGCTTGTTTACGAGGACGAAGAGTCATGGGATGAGTACGTTTGGGAGGGGAATTGGTCGGGGTGATAATGGGTGGTTCATTGAGTGAAGTTTGAGGAAATGTTGGGGTAGATGGTTTTTGCTTAGACCGACGTTGATAGGTGATGATAGCAAGTGGATTGTGTGGAGGTGGGGGTGTAGGGGGCGTCGTATTAGAGGTAGAGATTGAACTACCATGAGTGTTTTGCTGAGTGGGAGTATGAGAAATAGGAGATGCCTTTGCCGCTGGTGTACCTGAAAGGGGAAGATAAGAAATAGGCGGTTGAAGCCAATTATCAATCTCTGAGGAGAGATTAGTAACAGGTGTTATGGTCTGAGAGAAGGGGAAAACAGAGTCATTGAATATGACATGCCTGCTAATAAAAATACGATGGGTAGTTGGGTCAAGACATTGATATGCACTCTGCTGATCACAATACCCTAGAAAAATACATGGTTTGGATTGAGGTTCTAATTTGTTGGTTGTGTAAGGACGCAACCGCGGGAAGCATTGACACTCAAAAATAGCAAGTTTTGTGTAATTAGGTGCTTTTTGAAAAAGCTTTTCAAATGGAGTGCAGAAATTGAGATACGTTGCAGGTTGTCTATTAATGAGATACACTGCAGTTTGAAAAGCATAAGACCAATATTTAAATGGCATGGAGGCATGATGAAGTAAAGTGATCCCTGTTTCAACAATATGACGATGTCGTCGTTCAGCAAAATCATTATATTCTGGAGTATAGGAAGGGGTTAATAAATGGGAAATACCGCAGGAACTCAGGAATTTCCCTAGGGCGACATACTCACCTCCCCCATCAAAGTAAACCATTTTAATAGTTTTTTGAAAAAAGTTTTCTACAACTTTTAAATTGTTGAAAAATTGAGGTCACTTCAGACTTATGGTTGATGAGATAAAACCGAATGTATTTGGTATAGTGATCAACAAAAATAACATAGTAACAAAAACCGTCTACAGAAGTAATGCGAGAAGGACCCCAAACATCTGTAAAAATTAGGTCAAGAGGGCCAGAACTTGAAAGTGAAGATTTAGCAAAAGGTAACTTATGACTTTTATTACTTGCACATGAAGTGCATAAAGAGATATCCTTAGTAACATTTTTAAATGAAACACCAAGTGAAGAAATAACTTTTTGAGTTATAGGGAGAGCAGGGTGACCTAAACGGCAATGCCATTTATTAAGAGAATATTTTGTAGTAACATTAGCACATGTAGACGAAGGAATCGGTACATCCGGCAGACTGTAGACATCCTCATTATTCATACCCCGTAACAAAATTGCTCCCGTTTGCTGGTCCTTTACAAAACAGAAAGAGGGGTGAAATTCAATTAGCACATCATTATCACGACATAATTTGGCAACAAAAATTAAATTAGTATGAATTGAAGGAACAAAAAGAGTATTAGGTAAGGAAAGAGAATGAATATTCATATTTCCAACTTGTGCAATCGTAAGACCTTTACCGTTACCAATAACGAGGGAGTCTGTGCCAGTATAATCTGAAGCCAAGGTCAGGTTATTGAGATTATTGGTGACATGATTCGAGGCTCCAGAGTCGAGCAACCACCCATTTCTATTGGTCACCACAATATTGGCTTGAGGAGGGTAATTTTGTTGTTCAAATCGGTGCCAACAGTTAAGAGCGAGATGGTTTGGTTTGCCACATATTTGGCATATAATTGTACCTCTAGAATCATTATCGCTCCTGAAATTGTTTATGCCTCCCATATTATTACCTCCGGGATTATTATTTCCACGTCGGTTTGGGTTGTGGAAATTATTGGGCCCCTGGTTTTGGTTATGCCTCCTGGTGTTATTTAACAAATTGGTATTGGGCCCGTTAAATTGTCTCTGAAGTTGTGGTGCTGGTCCTGGGCCCAATATAGAAGGGTTTTATGTCTGATTACCTCTTAGGCCATTTGCACTCCTTCGAACGGCCAAGGCAAGAGACCCTCACGTCTCCGCGATAGCTGAATTAGCGGTCAGCACGAGATTGGAGTTCAGCACCTCCTTCTGTCGAAGCTTGTCATCATATCCTACGAGCAGCGTATGGATGGTTCCAAATCAAGTGTCGCCTGAGGTCTGGATGGAGTTCGCGATTGCTTCGAACTCTGGCCGAAGTCCTTCCAGAGCTTGAATGAGGAAATCATCATCGTCGACGGGTCATCCTGCCAGCGTCAGTTCATCAGCTAGGGTCCGGAGTTTGTGAAGGTACTCCCCCACTGGTTGATCTCCATGTTTCATGTGTCGGAACTGGTCTTTGAAGTTTCTAATTGCGGATGGTGACCGAGTCCCATAGAGCCGCTCAAGTGTCTTCCAGACATCGGCATAAGTGCGTGCAGAACCAATTAATGTTTTGCAAGCGGAGCTAAGGGAGGAGACTAGGGCGTGGTGGAGGAGTTTGTCCTGTCGGTTCCATCTGAGACGGCCGATTGTGTCACTTTCTGGTGGCAGCGTAGCATCCTCCTTGATGTACTGGCTCAGGTCTGACCCAAACAGAAGGTCAAGAACCTGGTCACGCCAAACCGGGTAATTAAAACCGTCTAATTTTTCTGGGAATTGACTGGGGTTAAGCATTATGAGTCCATCAGGGGTCAAGGGGTTGTTGGAAGGGGTAGCCAAGGTTTTAGCAAGCGGATTTTCGAGGTCTCCTTGTTCCTGGAGATTCTCTGTCTGGGTGGCTGTATTTTCTTGATTAGCCATGGGTAGAGGGGCTGGTGAGAGCTCTTACGGCTCTGATACCATAATAGAGTTTAGAAGAAGAGAGAATTCCAGACTGAATTGCTTACTTTATTCTCAGGCATACATTGGTATTTATACAATCATTGGGAGCCTATGTAATAATTATATTACTAATTACAAGGATATGTAACGGTTAAAACTGAAATTGTAATAATTGAAAATATTATAAAACTTTTTTAGAAAATTAATATTTTCTGGATTCTTCTACATATTTTCCATTTGTATATAATTACTTATTCATAAAAGATTCTAATTACTTTGAATATCATTAATAGTCTAAAAAAGTTTTTATCTTATTTTACATATTTATAACTTTAAGGCTATTAATTGTTTTAACTATTTTATACTTTTCTATTAAACATGCGATTGTTTAAACTTTTTTTATGTAATTTATTTGTAATACTTAAAAAATTAAAACTTTTTACCTTTTTACTATTTTCCCACACTAGTTTCTATTTAAATATTTTTATAGATTTTTTTTCGCATTTTGTATTTTAAATTTTACCATATGTGTTTTAGTATCCTGATATGTTCTAAAAATTAAATTCATTTTCTTTTAGTTTTAAAATTTGATTAACAAGTTTCCAATTTTTTGATTTTTTTTATAATTTTTCCTTAGTTCTTCATTTTTAAATTCTAATTTCATCTTTAAGAATACTAAAAATATAATTTTTGAATCAAATTTATAATTTTTTCTACTTTTTCATTATATTTTACACTTCTTTTTATCATTTAAAATATAATTTAGATATTCTGGGAACAGGTTTGCTCAAAGTTTAGATTTTTTTAACATTTTGTAGTATTTTTACATTAGTAAGATTTATTATTATGATTTTATTTTGAGTGCATCATGCCTAAGGTGTAGATAAGTATCAAGTACAAACCATTAACCGTACAAAGTTAAAATTTTAATGGTACGGTGTTCTTTTTAAAAGAAAAACGTTACCGTATTAAACGGTATGTGTAAGCCTTAGAGTCTATCATACGGCTGGTCCATTTTTGAAAACAAATTCCTAGACTGTCTATTTTTGAGAAAAAAAATTGAAGAGTGATAAAAAGTGATATTATTTTTAGTTTTGAGTCTACTTGTGAAGTTTTCCCCATTATTTTCATTGTTATTAAATTATTATTAGTAGGCCATATGGTGAACTTTTTCAGGACAGAGAATACTAAAAAAATTAAAAAATTGAGGCCCTTTAAATCAGTGGGCTCTGTTCTCTAGAACTGGTTTAACCTCTTCAAAAATTCGTGTGATCCCTGGTAGTGAGGGTGGGGAAGAGGAACCCCCTAGTTAATCTTTTTGTGTTTTAAACGTTTTTAAACACATACTCCTGCCTCCTGGGGGAAGGGGGTGGGAGTCCTAGAGTAATCATGACTGAAACTCACTTCATTGAGTTTCAAACCCTTATATGCCTAGCGGGTTTCGAACTCGAGACCTCTCATTAGGCACGGTAACCTCACAATCAGCTGGGCTGGAATGCTTGGTTAAACACATACTATGTTTTTGAATAAAACAACGCGTTTCAAATGAAAAATAATATTGGTCCATTTAAACAGGGAAAACTCCTACTTCCCGTATAAAATGTATATTTATCGTATTTTACAAAAATGAAAACATGAATTGATCAATTGAATGAATACATTAAATGAATAAGAGATCAACAATAATTTAAAAGCAAAAAGGAAAACCTCCTCCCTTTGACCTTATGTCTTTGTATTGTTACAATACAAAATATGCAATTATTAAATACTAAAATTAAATACATGGAAACTAAAGATAGCATCCTAAAAGACTAAAACTTAAAATACTACAAGATTCCTGATGTTTTTTCAAACAAGCATATCAAAATAAAGATTTTTCTAAATTTTGACATTTTTAGTATAAACTTCTACGCATAAATAATAATAAGCGTAGCAATCACACAACTTTCTTACATGACATCCGCCATCTTGATCAAATGATGCATTTGATGATCATATAAAGATTAACATACTAGCCCCACCGCCCCACTCCCCAAACTCCCCTAACCACTCAGCCCTACCAGCCTAGCAGCCCTTAAAATTGAAAAAAAAAGCCCAGACCGGTCCACCTTTTCAGCAGCCCAAAGCCCGCCCCCAATACCCCCGGTTCGGGCCCCCAGTCCTGGTCCCGGTCGGCCAAGCCGGGCCGGTCCCGCACAGTAACGGGCCGGGCCGGGCCGAACCAGCCCATCCCATCCCTTAGCTTTGTATTTACCCTTGAATGAATAGATGGAGACATGGAGTATTGGAGACTTGGACTCTTGGAGTATACCATCACCCAAAAGGTATTGTTGTCGATCTATTCAGAACCTTTCATTAATTGACTCCCTACTGCCTACTAATATTACTTCGTATCACTCTTTTAGAAAGGCATGCTGCTAACAGTACTGTCGACGAAACCATGATCTGCTTGTTCCAGTTGTCCACCCAAAAATGGCAACTTCCTATATAAAGACAACTACAATGTGTAACAGAGAATCCAATTGAAAGAGGCCTAAACCTTAACAAGTAGAAGCTCTAATCTCCATTTCTTACCAACGGTGTTTCTACCTCTAGAAAATGTAGTTAACTAACAAAATGTTTAACTTTTCACAAGGTATGCATTAAAACAAAAGAAAAGAAAACAAAAATACAATGGAAATCTGCACCTAAGCATTCAGGTGCCATCTGGTAAGTTGTTCTATGGTGTTTACCTTGAAGACCTGTCAGAGAGACACTTCCCGCAAGACACCAACTTCAGTAAAGCTTTTGGTCTCCTACTTCTGGTTCTCAACCGCTTAAGCTGCACATTTGGAAGTACGCATGTAAGCAAAAACTATACAATAAGGAAACCATTCTAAAACAACAACATCCAAGCTTACTCCCAAAAGATTTTGGAATCGATTAACATGAATTGATCCATGACATCAGAGTCAAAAAAAGAAAAAAGAAGAAAATAAAAAGATAAGGTAAGATAAAATTGACAAGATAAAGAGTAGTACTCCCTCCGTCCCGCTAGAAGGTTCTCGTTGACGGTTTACGATGCTTGACTGACGATAAAGCAACTTAATCCCTGTTCACACTCTTATTAATTTTAGTAAATAAAACTAACATATTCAGAAACTACATTAAAACCGCTACAAAGCCTGATAAAAAATGTAAATTTGATAAAAATTTGATTTATAAAGCAAAAGATTAAAAATGATTTTAGTTTATCATGTGAATAGTGGACGGGATTATTATTTGCAATGGAGCCAAAGATTCATTATTTTTTGGCTTGAGATTATGATGGAATAAAGCAAAATGGCTCACTAAACTGTCTGCGCTTCTTTGTTATGAAGCAGCAGTCAGTCCATGCAATTTTGGACGGGATTTTCACTATGGGTCATCCGGAAACAGTCTCTCTGTGCTTTAGTACAGGGGTAAGGCTGCGTACATCCGACCCCCCCTTACCCCACCGTAGGTGGGAGCCTTTGCGACACTGGGGTAAATGAAAATGAATGAAATGTGAATAGTGGACGGGAACCTTCTAATGGGACGGAAGTAGTATAAGATAACAATAACATAAAATACAAGAAAAATAAAAGATTAAAAGATAAAAGAACATAAGAAAGATAAAATATAAAAAAAACATAAGAACAAGATAAAAGAAAACGAGAGAATAGAGATCAAAAGTTCATACGAATATGTGTCCTCCACTTAGCTCTCTCCAAAGCACTACTTTCATCCAAGTCAAGAAGAAAAATACTAGTTATGACTTCTGATTCCTCTAATCCGAGTGTGTTTGGGTCTTTCTCTCCATCTTCTCCCCGCCTCCTCTCCTCACCTCTCAACTCGTCTAACTGATGCAAAACTCAGTCTTCTACTCTTCTACGCACATAACCAAACCAGCGCAATCGAGACTCCTACATATTATCTTCTATAGGTGTTACTCCTACTTTAATTCGGGCAAATAATCTCATTCCTCAAGCGGTCTTTAATTCAAGCAAATTGCTTTGGAAAATCTTTGTAAATACGTATTATTAAATTTAGAGCCTACTTAGCAACCCCTATTTTCAGCTTATTAGCCAAATTTTTTATCAAACACGTAACTTTAGATTTTGTGTGCTCAATGATCAAAATAAGTAATGTTGTAGTTACTGAATTGGCTGAAATTGTTGAATAAGACTATTTTAGCTACTTTCATATAACATTATCTTTATTTTATTAATAAAATATATTTACATATTCTATTCATAATTCAGCAGATTGAGCCATTTCACCCAATTTCAGTGTTACCAAGCAGACTCTAATTAAGTCAGCCCACATCAGAGCTAGAGCATGAGAGTCAAACCTTAAAAGGTAGACAATAAGGTAAGGTGAGTGATACATGGGTAAACTCGTAAGATTGACCCCCACGCGCAAAACATGCAAGTAAGCGAGCGAGCAAGCCAAGCAAGCCAACCAAGCCAACCAACCAACCAACCAACAAACAAACAAACAAACTAATTAATTAACTAATTAATTAATTAATTAATTAATTAATTAATTAATTAAATAATGAGGGTATAAACTGATTTTACCTTAGGACATGATACCCTTCCAGACTTCCAGCAAAGCAAACTCCTATATCTGGGCTCTAGTCTCCTGCACAAAGAAAACTTCTGATGACTGACTTTCATTTGTTCCACATGTTGTACAAGACTATAATTTCATATCATTTTAGGGCTCTGCCAAAAAATAAAGAAATGGAAACCATACAAAAATTGACCCAAAAAATTGGTCAGATGATGATGAAGATAAATCACTTAAATAATTTCGGAAAAAAGGTCAAGCGACAAATGAAATTTATGAGTCAAAATGTCAAATGTGATATGCCATCTTAAATAAAAAGTTAGGAAAAGAACGTACAGATTTTCATGTTCGAGCTTTTCAGCAACAGAGACCGCCATGCGGTGTGACCATATGGACTGCGGCTGCTGTGCACATCCTTCTGCCAGTTGCAGCACTTGAGCAAGAGACACCTTCCCTCTCACTAGGCTCATATTCTTCTGTTCTATGTTCCCCGATTGTCTCACTTCAAGTTGGTTGGCTACTCTCGAGGGTGTACTTTCTAATTCTACAATCTCATTTTCTGCTGTTCCGGAGGAGTAAAAATCTCCAGGCAAAGCTCCTACTCTTTCTTTTTGAAGCCTTGTGTGATGACTGAAGCTTGTTTGAATGTGAGATGATGAACCGCCACGAGATGTGGGAAAGACGGTTAATTCTGCCTTTAGATCTTTCCTTGATTCATCTCTGATCTCGAGCATCACAGGGGATGATCCAAGAACAGATTCAAATGCTTGTGAAATATGTACTCTAAATTTCTCTGCCTTGGATTTCAATACATGTGAACGGAAAACCAAACGTACCTTTGGAGCTGCAGATAGACGTCCAAATAAGAAACTTTTGGTACAGGATTAAGATACTGTTTAGTAGGTTTCATTTTCAGTTTATCAACATTTTTTCACCAAACACTAAATTATTCCATTGGGCTCCCTAAATGGCCTTAATTAGTGAATGAGTTAACTTTGGGATGAAAGGTGTGAAATTGATACTTCTACATTTCCTTCAGATTTTTTTAGCTTTTTTAAATACTTCATATGTGTTTATAAATAATTAAATATTTAGAAAATTCAACCCAAACTCCAGCAAAATCAGCCACATTTGTCATGATAAGACGCCATTTGGTAAGCATTGTGAATTGAGGAAGAAATAATAATGATGATGACGATGATGATGACGACGGCGACGGCAACGGCGAGGGCGGCGAGGGCGGCGATGGCGGCGATGGCGGCGAGGGCGGCGAGGGCGGCGATGGCGGCGATGGAGGCGACGGCGGCGACGGCGATAATGATAATTGTTGAAATATAAACTAGAATAATATTGAAGAGAGGAGGAAAGATTTTATGTGTATTTCATTGAAGGGTAAGGCCCTATAAATATAGATTACAAAGATAGAATATTCCTATAAAAGATGCTATACAATAATACTATATATGGTATATTCCTAATATATTCTAAAGCATATTCTAAAGTATATTCTAATATACTTTGACACTCCCCCTCAAGTTGAAGCATAGATATTTATCATGCCCAACTTTGTTACATAAATAACCAACTCGAATTCCATTTAGTGCTTTAGTGAACAAATCTCCAAGTTGTTCCCCAGTCTTCACATATCCTGTAGAGATCAATCCTTTTTGTATCTTCTCTCGAATAAAATGACAATCGACCTCAATATGCTTTGTTCTCTCATGAAATACAGGATTGTTTGCTATGTGTATAGCAGCTTGGTTATCACACCACAATTTAGCAGGCATTGATGTCTTCAGTCCGAGATCGGTCAATAAATGGCTTATCCATATGATCTCACATGCAGATTGTGTCATAGCTCGATATTCTGATTCGGCACTCGAACGAGAAACCACATTCTGCTTCTTACTCTTCCAAGATACAAGATTATCACCAACAAAGACACAATAATCAGATGTAGATCTTCGATCATCTTTAGAACCGGCCCAATCAGCATCTGCAAACATTCTATTCTCATGTGATCATGGTTTTGATAAACAATACCTCGTTCTGGTGCACCCTTTAAGTAACACAATATGTGTTCTACTGCAGCCCAATGATCAATGGTTGGAGATGACATGTATTGACTCACTACACACACAGAATAAGCAATATCTGGACGAGTGACTGCGAGATAATTAAGCTTTCCAACCAGTCTTCTATATCTTTCTGGGTCTTCAAATGGTGTGCCTTCTTGAGTGAGGTGCACGTAGGGAACCATGGGTGTTGTACTTGGTTTTGCCCCTAATTTCCCTGTCTCAGCTAGTAAGTCAAGTACATATTTACGTTGAGATAGAAATATGCCTTTCTTACTTCGTGTTACCTCAATTCCCAGAAAGTATTTCAAAGAGCCAAGATCTTTCGTCTGGAATTGACTATGCAGAAAATTCATAAGGGCCAAAATATCTGCATTATCACTCCCTGTAATCACAATATCATCAACATACACCACAAGCAATGTGACACTTGATTCTGTTTGTTTGTAAAAGACAGAGTGATCTGATTTGCCTTTTATCATTCCAAATTGTTCAATTGATTGACTGAATTTCCCAAATCATGCACGAGGACTCTGTTTCAGACCATAAAGAGATTTGCGAAGTCGACAAACTTTACCATACTCCCCCTGAGCAACAAATCCCGGAGGTTGCTCAATATAGACTTCTTCCTTAAGGTCACCATGCAAAAATGCATTTTTAATGTCCAACTGATGTAAGTGTCAATCATGAGTTGCAGCGAGTGGAATAAGTAACCTGACAGATGTTAATTTAGCAACAGGAGAAAAAGTGTCAGAATAATCAACACCATAGGTTTGAGCATAACCCTTCGCAACTAATCGGGCTTTCAACCGAGCAACAGATACGTCTGGGTTAACCTTAACAGCAAAGACCCACTTACATCCAATAGATTTCTTCCCTGTAGGCAAGTCAACCAAATCCCAAGTACCATTAAGATCTAAAGCATTCATTTACTCTACCATGGCATGACGCCATTCAGGATGAGACAAAGCTTCTTTGACAGATTTGGGAACAGAAATAGAATCAATAGAAGCAAATGAAATATAAACTAGAATCATGAAGCAGGAGATAACTGATTGTACGACACAAATGAAGAAATAGGATGAGTACAAGACCGTGTACCTTTACGTAGAATGGATGGCTCTGATGCCATGTTGAAATATAAACTAGAATAATATTGAAGAGAGGAGGAAAGATTTTTTGTGTATTTCATTGAAGGGTAAGGCCCTATAAATATAGATTACAAAGATAGAATATTCCTATAAAAGATGCTATACAATAATACCTATTGATGGAGTATTAACTCCTAGAGAGAAGGGAGAGCTAGAGAGAGAAGTGAGTTGTATTAATTATTTTCGAACCCTTTACATGGCCCCCAAGGGGAGTATTTATAGGAAAAAGTGGGCTGGGCTCCCAAGTCTTGGGCTTGGGAGGCCCATTACAATATAGAGCCTCTATTGGGTTGATTACATTAGAAGTCTAGTCCTGTGAGTTCCTTCTGGCCGACGGAGGCGCATGGACGACGGAGGCGCTCGGTCGATGGAGGCATGGACGACGGAGGCGCTCGGCCGATGGAGGCATGGACGACGGAGGCGCTCGGCCGACGGAGGCATGCCGACGGAGACGCTCGGCCGACGGAGCCACTGGCCGACAGAGGACAAGTCTTCTCCTTGGCTTCTGGAGCGTATTCTGGGTTGACTCTTTTTCGGCCGATGGGGTGCCATCTGGCCAACGAAGGGCCCACTGGATGACAGCTGTGCTCCTCTTAGTCTTCTGAGTATGTGGGTCATGGGGTCTGGACCCATATACTCCATCAGAAGTCCCCCACTCTCTGAGCTGAGATGCAGACGAAGTGAAAGGGAGTAGATCCTTGTCGTTCTGACGCTTTGGCCGACGGAGGGTTACCTGGGAATTGTAGTGTTTCCTGGCCGAGGCGGTGCCATAATTGTTGGCTGCCTTGTCCTTCATTTCGGGGACGATGAATGTTCTTCATTCCGAGGACGATGAATGACCTTCATTTCGGGGACGATGAATGCCCTTCATTTTGAGGACGATGAATGTCCTTCATTCCGAGGACGATGAATGCCCTTCATTCCGAGGACGATGAATGCCCTTCATTTCGAGGACGATGAATGTCCTTCGTTTTGAGGACGATGCATGTCCTTCGTTTTGAGGACGATGGACGTCCTTCATCTTGAGGACGATGGACGTCCTTCATTTTGAGGACGATGGACGTCCTTCATTTTGAGGACGACGAACGTCCTTCATCTCGAGGAGGAAGAATGTCCTTCATTTTGAGGACGATGGATGTCCTTCATTTTGAGGACGATGAACGTCCTTGATCTCGAGGACGATGGATGTGACCCTGCGCAGCCGATGAGGCATCACAATTGCTTTCGGCGCTCCAGGCCGAGGCGAAATCACTCGTAGTTGGTTGTCAATGGCTTTGAGGATGATGAGGGTCCTGGACCAGAGGACATTGGGCGCCCTTGGCTCTGTGGACGATGAATGTCCTGCCCTTGTGCCTTTGACTTTAGTTGATGGATCTTACGCTTGCGTTTGTTGTGTTCGTGATATGGTCGATGAATGTCATTGTCCTGGAGACGATGCGTGCCATTGGCCTTGAGGACGAGGAGTGTCTTTGACATTGAGGACGATGTGCGTCCTGCCTTGAGGACAACAAGGGACGTTGAGATACCATTGTCATAGGCTTGTCTTCGTTGCATTTTTGAACTTGTTTATCTTTGCGCTGGAGGCCGATGTAGTCCACCAGACCTTCGTCTGGCCGATGGAGGCATGGCCGACGGAGGCATTGGCCAACGGGGGCACTACTTGGTAGTCCTTGCTTTGTTGTTTCTTTCTGGATGTTTGCATGTATGGGGAGGCCGGTGTAGTCCCCCAGTCCCCCACTCCTCGAGGCTCATGTAGTAAGGTGAAGAGGAGTAGAGCAATGCACGTCTTCATATAGGGGGCCGAGGGTCGACACCTTTTTATCCACAATGGGGCGATGCCTCGTTAAAAACATCATTAGGAAAAACCCTGTGGGAAAAAATCCTAATGAGGGAAAAAGAGCACACCGGATCCCCCAAAATGAACTCCAAGGGGTGAACCCTTCGGCCTAAGTGTGGAGTTGCAACCGTGTCCGTCTGTTGGGGGGACGCCTGCCTGGTGGTGAGGACGACGACGTTGATGAGCCGGTCCGAATATGAGGATGAGGCGATGGGTGCCTGTCTGAATATGAGGACGACGGTGGTAATGAGTCGTGCGTCATATGAAGGCGACGGTTGCTATCTAGGAAGGGAATGGCGAGCCCGGTCGCTATAACAGTACCTCAACGTTAGGAGCCGATCTTAAGATATGAGGACGACGGCACTAAGGGGCCGGTCCGAAATCCATGCAACGGTCCCCATCCGGTAAAGGAATGGCTAAGACCGGTCTTTGAGATACAGGATCATGCAGAGGCTGAGGGGTCATTCGTGATCTGAGGACGAGGCGATGATGAAGCCGTTCGTCAGGTAGAGACGACGGTCCCCATCCTGGAAGGAATGGAGAGCCCGATCATTGGCTCAAGACACTCGGCGCCGAAGAGGCCGGTATTGAGATGAAGGATCACGTCGAGACTGAGGGGTCTGCCGTGATCTGAGGACGTACGGCAATGAGGAGCCGGCCCTATAATATGATGACGAGGTGTTGATGAAGTCGTTCGTCATGTAAGCTCAAGGCTCTCGGCGCTGAGGAAGCCGGCCTTGAAATAAACAATCACGCCGAGGTTGAGGGGCCGGGTGTGATTTGAGGATGACGGCGATGATGAAGCCGCTCGTCGCATGAAGGCGAGGGTCGCCATCCAGGAAGGGAATGGTGAGCCGGCTCACTAGCTCAAGACGCACGGCGTTGGGGAGGCCGGTCTTGAGATGAAGGACAAGGCGTTGGACGCCTGTCCAAAGTTGAGGACGATGACGCTGATGAAGCGCGTCCTTGGATGATGACGACGCTGATGGGGCCGTTCGTGACATGGAGGCGAGGGTCGTCATCCAGGAAGGGAGTGGCAAGCCCGCTCGCTAACCCAAGACGCTCGGCACTGAGGAGGCCGGTCTTGAGACGAAGGACAAGGCGTTGGACGCCTGTCCAAAGTTGAGGACGATGACGCTGATGAAGCGCATCCTTGGATGATGACGGCGTTGATGGGGCCCTTCGTGTCTTGGAGGATGAGGCTTTCACCCTGGTTTCGAAGATGAGGGGCGGCATTGGACGCACGCCCCTTGATGATTATATCGTTAACTGTGGTTCGAAGATGGACGTCGCCGGGGACGTTCGTCCTTTGATGACGAAGGCGTTGATGACGTCGTACGTCATATGAAGGACCTGGCCTTGGCGCCGGTATGAAGATGAGGACAACACTGATGAGCCGTCTGTCCTTTGCTTGAGGACGAGGCGTGGGCACTCGTCTGAAGATGGACGGCGTTGGACGCTCGTCTGAAGATGGACGGCGTTGGACGCTCATCTGAAGATGGACGGCGTTGGACGCTCCCCTGAAGATGGACGGCGTTGGACGCTCGTCCGAAGATGAGGAACGACGCTGATGAAGCCGGTCCTGTTTAAGGGCGAGGCGTTGGCATTCGTCTGAAGATGGACGGCGTTGGACGCTCGTCTGAAGATGGACGGCGTTGGACTCTCGTCCGAAGCTGAGGAACGACGGTGATGAAGCCGGTCCTGTTTAGGGACGAGGCGTTGGCGCTCGTCTGAAGATGGACGGCGTTGGGCACTCATCTGAAGATGAGAGACGGCGCTGATGAAGCCGTTTGTCTCATGAAAGACGACGTTGGACGCACATCCTTTGATGATGATGGCGTTGATGAAATCGTTCGTCATATGAAGGACCAGGCTTTGACGTTGTCCTGAAGATGAGGACGGCACTGGTGAGCCGTCTATCCTTTGATGAAGGATGGCGTTGGATGCCTGAAGGTGAAGGACGGTGTTGGATGTCCGTCCCCTGATGACGACGGTGCTGGTGAAGCCGTTCGTCTCATGAAAGACGACGTTGGACGCACATCCTTGATGACGACGGCGTTGATGAAGTCGTTCGTCATATGAAGGACCAGGCTTTGACGTCGGCCTGAAGATGAGGACGGCACTGGTGAGCCGTCTATCCTTTGATGAAGGATGGCGTTGGATGCCTGAAGGTGAACGACGGCGTTGGATGCCCGTCCCTTGATGACGACGGTGCTGGTGAAGCCGTTCGTCTCATGAAAGACGACGTTGGACGCACATCCTTTGATGACGACGGCGTTGATGAAGCCGTTCATCATATGAAGGACCAGGCTCTGACCCTGGCTTGAAGATGAAGGGCGGCGTTGGACGCTCGTCCCCTGGTGACGACGGCGCTGAGGAAGCCGATCGTCTGAAGATGAAGCACGGCGTTGGATGCACGTCCTTTGATTACGACAGCGTTGATGAAGCCGTTCGTCATGTGGAGGACCAGGCTCTGACCCTAGCTTGAAGATGAGGACGGTGTTGGACGCTCGTCTCCTGATGATGACGGCGCTGATGGAGCCGGTCGTCTGAAGATGAAGGACGGCGTTGGACGCACGTCCCTTGATGAAGGATGGCGTTGGACGCCTGAAGATGAAGGATTGCGTTGGACGCTCGTCTCCTGATGACGACGGCGCTGATGAAGCCGGTCATCTGAAGATGAAGGACGGCATTGATGATGCCTGTCCTTTGATGACGACGGCGCT